CCTCCGAATCAAATCGGCACCTGAAGCTTCAGACACCCATAATGGCAAGTGAGATGAGCAGGTTTGCCTCTGGAGAAGGTATGTCTAGATTGGTGCAGGGAGCATAGGCAGTGTCACACATGGAGTAGGGGGAAGGGCTGCAAAATCTGGTATTGTGAGGTTAGCCATTAACACAAATAAGGGAGATCATGAGCCATCACGTTCCCCCTTGGGGGGGGGGGCAGGGGGTGCAAGTAGTAGGGAAGGATTTCAAATGAGGAGACTTAGAGCATGAAGTTAAGTATTAGTAGATGGCAGTCGTGTGTATTGCTGTGATAGAAGTGCAAGAGTTGAGAGGCGGCATAAGTCATGAGAGAAAATAAGGTGGAGGATGGATGGGCCAAATGAGATGCGATTAAAGGAATACTCAGCCTAGCTCAGGAGGGAGCTAAAATCTAGTTTATGCCTTTGCTGATGTTCAGTCTTTTTGGTGGTTCTTTGCAGACAAAGGTATTAGGAAGGTAACTGCCCACACCAGTTGCAGGCCGCTGGTGACTAATCAATCCAATGGCAGAGAGGCAAATCCTGCTGCAACAGTTACATGTGTATAGCTGATTACTGCTAGATGAGGGTGCATCTTTCCTCCTCTTCTCCTCGATGCACTGACATTCAAAGAGGGCTGTTGACTTTTTGATTGGATTCGCCAGGCATCACGATCTGCAGCCTGTTTCCCACAGCTTGTGGTCAATACCACAGGCAGACAAGGACCTCTTTCGGGTGTCCTTGAAGCGCTTGCATGGGTACCCACTGATACTCAGTAGTTCACACTGAAAGCCTGCCTTTAGCTGCTCCATCTGCCAGCGGCCTCCAGAAGCACTTTTGGCAGTTTGTGAAAACAGGCTTGTACATCCCATTTTCCTCAGATGGCTTAAAGGGCTGGAGTGGCAACTCCATTTCATCTGAGGAATTTCACATCATAAGGGAATTTTTAAGTCAATGGGTACATCATTCCTGAGCATTGAAAGTAGCCTCATGTCTCAGAGGCCTTGGAGCCTGGCCAGGGATCTGGCCTACTATTTCTAAATGCTAAAACTTTGTTATCTAAGGGCACATCACATGAAACCAGTGGGAAGCAGAAGAAAGATAGGGGAAAGAGAAAAAATGGGCCCTATTTAGACAACCACCAGAGGTGCATTGCAACAAACACTTGCAAGAGGTGGAGGAGGAAAGGTGGTGCAAGGATTTTATATTGTTAAAAAGGAAATGAAGGTTGCCAGCCACTTCGGAAACTGTAGCTCACTGAGCAAGAATTGAGAGGAGGCTCCCAAATACTACATGTAGGTACATTCTCAGACCAGAGACTTGCTGTTCCTTCTCAAGGTACTAGCCAAATATCTTAGCAAAATAGAGCATCAAAGTTAGTTTGTGCTTTGGCCATAGGGAGAATTTGTTGCAGATCTGCTGTACCAGTCACCAAAGGGTATGAATTGTTACAGCTGCCAGCTGCAGACCTTTGGTTTCTGTTACAGCAGTGTGCACCTTTAGCTTGAACACACAAAAATGTTCAAGTAAAGTAATTGAGTGGCAGCATGTTTGCCCTGCGTTGTTTGGGCAAGTAAAGAGATTAGTCACAAGAGTAAATTTTTTGTTGTTGTTGTTTCTATGCAAGGGGAGAACCTAAAAGTTAATGGCATCTCTGCACGTGTTTCATTTGCAGTGCCAGTGTGTGTCTTTGCTAATCTTGAATTTCCTTGGGATGCCTGCATCCTTGTACATGACCCACCCAAGCATCTGTTTGGTTTTTTTCAGAGCAAAGTCCCCAAGAGGTTCAAGTTTTGCCTTTGTGACTGTTTGCACACCCACATATAAGCTGCTGACCTTGCAGAGACAAAACTCTCACTGAATTCACTGGAATTCATGTGGATTGAAAGGGTTTGCAGGTCAGCCTGATCTGAGTAAAATCCCAACATAATGCCTGGAGGACTCGGTTATGAAAGTTTGACTCCTGTAGAGGGGAGCAGATCAGAAGCTGTTTAGGACAGAGGCTGGTCTTGTTTTGGCTCGGTACATATAGTGTAGTCTTGTTCTGTGACCATGGTTCTTGTCAGTCCTGGAAAATGGGTAGTAACAGTGCTGCTGCAGACCCTGCAGGTCATACCACAATGTGCAGAAGCTGAAGTGTTTCAATAATGGACTTGGGTAGGAGCACATATACCGCAGGCTCCTTGCATTCCTACTTCCCCCACTTCCTGGGTCTATTCCTTTATTCCCTCTTCAACAGCCCATCAGTAGACTATTCCCTGGATACCTCAGCCAATGGTAACAGAGCTGCCAAAAAATGTGTATTCAAGTTATTGCCCCACAAAGTTGTTTCGTAAACAGGCTAGACAGTGAATGAATACAAATAGCTTTCCGATGCAAGGAATAAAAAACCCTTCTGTAACGTATGCTACAAACCAAGTAGCTCTGCTAGGTGGGACCAGACTTCTCAAAACTGATGTGAAGGTAGACCACGCTGAATAATCCGTAATCTCAAACTAATATCTGTCATGTACACTCCCTAGGATACAGAGCTAATGGGAATGGAGAAATTACCACATTTTAGATGGAAGAAAAGTTCAGATAAACTCCACTTCAGAACTCTGAAAGAAGTGGTGCAAACGCTCAGTCCAGTAGCCAGGATTTTTAATCAGTATAGGAAATCAGACTCTAGAACAAATTTTGACAGAAAGATTAACCAAAGAAATGGAGACAAATAGAAAATTACACAAGAGTTATAGAACCCCATTTAATTTTCATACAGCTCTGTTGGTTTCATTCCAGTGTGGTTCATTGCACTAGTTCACAGATTATTAAAAAGTGGAGCATTACCCATCCCACACAGGTTGTACTTTTGTACTGTTGTACTTTTTGGTGAACAACTAATAGTTTTTGTTGTTTCCTGAGATTTTCTTCTTGTGGTAATTTTTCTAGCGGATAAAAAAATGATGGCCTCAGCATCCACTGCAGGAAACCAGCAGCTCTACTCCCAAGGAAGCCCATTTCAGCCAGGACATTCAGGAAAGGCTTTCAGGTACACCACAGTAGCACTGGCCCCCACAACATCGCAATTGAAAAATAGTTGCCTTTTGGTATAATGGAAATGGGGTGAGGCTAACACCAGCACATTTTTCCTCTAACTTGAATTATCCTTTCTTTTTTGGACACTCGATTCCTGTGCAAAAGTTCATCAAACAGGAGTAACACAGAAATGATTTTGAAGCCAGTAAACTTGAGGGCACCAGATAAAACACCTCATATAAGGGAAGCATCTGTTTGTTCTTGTGATATGGATGGAAAAGTTTTAAATATTTCCTGAAATTTTCTAGCTGATACTACAGGTTTGACGAGAAGTTTAAGAATTGGCATATCCTTGCCATGGCTGCTTGAGATTTTTGTAGCAGCTATGATTAGATTGGCTTTATTGCTATTACCCTGTTATGGAATCATAAAAAAGAGGGTTGGAAGGGACCTCAGGAGGTCTCTAGTCCAACCTCCTGCTCAAAGCAGGACCATCCCCAAATAAATCGTCCCAACCAAGGTTTTGTCTAGCTGGGTTTTAAAAACCTCCAAGGATAGAGATTCCACAACCTCTCTGGGTAACCTGTTCCAGTGTTTTACTACCCTCCTAGAGGCTTTTCCTAATATCTAACTGAAACTTGTCTGCTGCAATGTGAGACCATTTCTCCTTGTTCCGTTACCTGCCACCACTGAAGGACGTTTCTAGCACCATCCTCATTGGAACCACCTTTCAGATAGCTGAAGGCTGCTATTAAATCCCCTCAGTCTTCTATTCTGCAAACTAAAAAGCCCAGTTCCCTCATCCTCTCCTCAGAAGTCATGTACCCCAGCCTCCTAACCACATTTGTTGCCCTCCGCTGAACTCTGTCCAACTTGTCTACATCCTTTCTGTAGTGGGGGGTCCAAAACTGGACACAGTACTCCAGATGTGACCTCACCAGTGGTGAATAGAGGGGAAGAATAACTTTCCTCAATCTGCTGGCAACACTCCTACTAATGCAGCTCAGTATGCTGTTAGCCTTCTTGGCAACAGGGACACGCTACGGGCTCATATTCAGCTTATTGTCCACTGTAACCTCCACCCAGGTCCTTTTCTGCAGAGCTGCTGCTTCACTAGTTAGTCCCCAGTCTGTACTGGTGCATGGGGCTTTTCCAACCTAAGTGCAGGATTTTGCATTTTTCCTTATTGAACTTGATGAGATTTCTTTTGGTCCAATCATCCAATTTGTCTAGGTCTCTCTGAATCCTATCCCTACCTTTCATCATATCTACTACTCCCCCAAGCTCGATGTCATCTGGAAACATGCTGAGGGTATACTCCATCCCATGGGCGACTGGTGCCACCCGAGCCGGTAGGGGCACCAATGGGACACGACTGGTGAGGGGGCAGGATCTGGAGCTAATTTCAAGGAGGGCACTCCATGCCCCTCTACCAACTGGAGCATTTGCTGTCGGGGAGAAGGAGGGAAGGGGTACCAGCACTCTCAGGGGGCACGTGCCCCCCTGTACCCACCCTGTGCATCGCATATGCTCCATCCAATTTCCAGATCATTGGTGAAGATATTGAACAAAGCTGGCCCCGGGACCAGCTTCTGAGATATTCCACTTGATACTGGCTGAGAACTAGACATTGAGCCATTGATTACTACCATTTGAACCTGCTAATCCAGGCAGTTTTCTATCTACCTTACAGTCTATTCATCCAACCCATACTTCCTTAGCTTGCTTGTGAGAAAGTTGTGGGAGACCATATCAAAAGCTTTGGTAAAATCAAGATGTAGCAAGTCCACTGGTCTCCCTGCATCCACAGAACCAGTCACCTCATCATAGGTAATCAGGTTGGTCAGGCATGACTTGCCTGTGGTGAATCCATGCTGACTACTCCTTTGCCTCCAAGTGCTTAGAAGTGGATTCTTTGAGGACCTGCTCCATGATTTTTCTGGGAACTGAGGTGAAGCTGCCTGTCTGTAGTTCTCTGGATCTTCCTTTTCCTCTTTCTTAAAAATAGGCACTAGATTTGCCCTTTTCTAATCATCTGGGACCTCTCCCAATTGCCACAAGTTTCCAAAGATAATGGCCAGCATCTCTGTAATCACATCAGCCAACTCCCTCAGCACCCTTAGGTCTCAGGTGTGTTGTGTCTGGACCCATCAACTTGTACACGTCCAGCTTCTCTAAATAGTCCCTACCGTGTGTTCTCCTATTGTCAGCTGCTTGCCTCCTCCCCAAACTGCTGCTAGGTGCAGTAGTCTGGGAGCTCTGACTTTGCCTGTGAAGATAGGTATAAAAGGCATTGAGTACTGATGCCTTTTTCTGCATCAGCTGTCACTAGGTTGCCTCCCCCATTCAGTAAGGGACCCACACTTTCCCTAGTCTTCCTCTTGTTGCTGACATACTTGTAGAAACCCTTCTTGTCACCCTTCGCATCCCTTGCTAGCTGCAACTACAATTGTGCCTTGGCCTTCCTGACTTCATCCCTGCTTGCCTGAGCAATGTTCTTATAGTCTTCCCTTGTCGTTCCACTTGTAAGCTTCCTTTTTGCATTTTAGCTTATTCAGCCAAGCTGGTCTTTTGCCATACTTGCTAGTCTTCCTGCACACCAGGATGGTTCTTTACTGTACCCTTAGTAAGGTTTCTTTTAAATACAGCCAGGTGTCTTGGACTCCTCTCCCACTCAGCCTGGCCTCCCGGGGGATTCTGCCCATAAGCTCCCTGAGCGAGTTGAAGTCTACTTCTCTGAAGTCCAGGGTCCTTACTCTGCTGCTCTCCATCCTTACTTTCCTCAGGATCCTGAACTCAGTCATCTCATGATCACTAATGCACAAATTGCCATCCACTACTACATTCCCCACCAATTCTTCCCTGTTTGTGTTTTAGGAATGAAGATTTGTGACTGTTCATCAAGTTGTCTAGTCAATAATGAAGACTTTGTGGTTTAAATCTAATCTATTCCTTTCTCTATCCTGATGAGCTTTAAGTTACAGAATGGAAAACTAGCATGAGCAGTAATGCTACAGGGAGATGAACTCTCTTCAATGAAATCTCAAGCTTCTACTTTGAACTAAGCCAAAGTTTCCAAAGTGAAGGAACAACCATTCAGATGCTATAACTGTCAGTTGTGAGGTCTGTGAATTAGAAATCACAAATAAGCTATAATTTTATAAAAACCAATGTGGTGTTAAAGTTAAACTTGGTAATGAGATCAGTAGGAAGGAATAGGATTCCTTTGTTCTTTTTGCCCAGGCAAGAACTGGGGATTACAACTTGGAGATACTGTGGTAAATTAAAATGCCTTTTAATGAGATGTTATGTGTTTTTGGGTAATAGTGTTAACACCAAATTGCCAGTAACCATCTTGAGATCTGGCCCATGTTTGGTCAGTTTTATTTGCTAGTCTCTTGGAAACTTAACAGTACCTCTGTGTGAGAGAGAGACTTCTTTTTGCTTTTTTTGCTGGTATGCTGCAGCATCAGAGTGATGCAAATGCTGATGAATTGCCCTGTGCTAGATCCCAACTTGAAGCCCCACCTGCTCTTGACTTAGGAGCAGAGGTTCAGTGGTGTTTCACACATTACTTCTGCAAATAGTTTTGTTCATTTTTTTTCCTATTTTGTTTTGTTTTGGGTTTTTTTTCTTCTTCCCAGGACTCTCAATGCCATTTTATTCCTAAACCTGGATTTGCAAATATGTGCTATTTTTAACACCACTGAGGGTTTAGTGAGAACCTCAGGAATTAAAATGAGCTTAATGAACCATGCATTTTTATTTTACAACACATGTTTTCTTCTTTTTACAGCAAGATGGCCATGCTGACTAGAAACAAGGAATACTTATGCTCAAGCATACCCTTATAAGCCTTGACTTAAGACCACATTTAAACTCATGTGTAATAAATTGATTTATAGCACATGTTTAAAATTGAGCTTATTTGGGGCTGCTTCCCTGAACTGAGGCCTAAGCTAATAGGGAAGTAGTCAGTTTCCATCCCTTTGAGATGATCAAATGTCAAATTTTCCCCTCAGTTTTATTCATTCGAGCACTCTGGGTAAGATTGCATGACTCTAACTATGAGTTGTGTCCATTATGAGTGCGTAGTAGAAGGGACTTCTTAGAATTTCAAAACTTGTGATAGTTTAACACAACAGTCAAGTCACTTTTTCAGTTAATCCTGCAGCAAAGTGGCAGAAACCTTCACTTCTGTGTGATGAGTAACACACTTTCAGTTACCTATGGTTTGATTTGCGTGTGAAGATCGTACTGTTCCTACCACTCATTCTTCTGTTCGTTTCCCTTTTAGCTCATCTGTGGTACATGTCCCCGGTGTGAACGATATCCAGTCATCTTCTTCAACAGGCCAAAATCTGACCCAGATATCTCGCCAGTTAAATCAGAGCCAAGTTGCCTGGACTGGGAGTCGCCCACCATTTCCAGGACAGGTATTGTGGTTAAGGCAGGTTTTGCCAACCTATGTCACACAGGCCAGATTCAGCCCACAGTCTCATTTGATCTGGTCCAATGTGGGTCTTCAGTGGGAGGGGGCTTCAGCAATGGTCACTCTTCATGTGCTGCCACGGTAGGAAGAAAGCAGCCTTGGAGCCCTAATTATGCCTTTTAATATTGCAGCAGAACAATGCATATGGCCTGTTTTAAAACATGCAAAAATTGATTAATTGAAAACAATAAATTAAATGAATTCCTCCATTTCTGATTTCTGGTCAAAACAGAATCCCAAAGGGAAAAATTTCGAGTTTACTTGGACAAAAATTCTCTACATGACATTGGCAATCCCCGCGTATATCCTAATTTAAGACCTCATTCCTGTCTGGACATACAAGTCAGCATGACTACTTATGATTGCAATTAAGCATATGCATAAACTCTGTTGGGTCAAAGCCAAATATGCCTGTGTTCTTTACATACAACATTAATATGTATTGCAGAAAAATCTCTTTAGACTGAGTCGATTGTGTAGTATGTGCAGAAGGTGACTGTACATATTAAAGACAGAATAGCAACTCAGTCACTAAATGCTTTTGTTTTAATCTCTGGAGGTAAGTCTGTTTATTAATATTACTGTTTGCATTCAAATTTGTTACATAGGATAAAGGCACTTGTTTATTTAATCAGAACCTTGTTTGTAAGCATGTTAGTTTCCCAGTATTATAAACTTGGTGCCCAGTCCTTCATCCACATCAATTGCTCAGCCTTGTCATCTTCAAATTGAAATAATATTTTTACGTGTTTTCATCTGTACATTGTGTATGAAAGCCATAATTAGTCAGTGAGAAAAAAAGCAATTTATCTTCTTAGCTGAAGCCATCAGTCTGATTAAGTCTGCAGCTAATCCTTTTACCAACTTAAAAATGAATGTAGTTTTACAGAGAAGTCTGCATGTTCCTTGTCATTGTGGAATCATCACAGCTAAGTAACTTACTTGCAAGGAACTGAACTGAGGACTTAAACACATTTTCACCATTTTATATGTCTGTTGGGATCTGGTTTTCCCCCCCTCTGGTTTGCCCAAGCAAAAGGCTTTACTTCAGTGCATTGATTGCCAATAACACGAACGTCATTAAAAGTATCCTGAAATGTTACTGCTTTTAATTTCAAGCAGTAGAACTTGTTAAGCAGTAGTCATGCATGGAGTTGTATGGAAGGGAGGGAATGCTTTGTGGGTAAGTAGGTTCTACTCCTGGCACTATCTCCTGATGTACCATGTGACTCTGGGTGAAACCTGTAACCACACTTGGTCTCAGTTTACCTCTCTCATGGGCATGTTGTGGTGTTTCTTTGTGACATGCTTTGCAATCCTCAGAGGAAGTCGTTGTAGAAGTGTCAAGTCAGTGGTGTGTTTGTACATCCATGATTTAACTAAACCATCTACTTTAAACAAAGTGTGGTTATTTTCCCCCTGAAGTTGTCCTATTCATTTCCACCAAATCTGCAAAGGTTGACTGCTTGTCCAAGGCAAGATACAACATCTGCCCTGTGGGTTACATTCCACTTGGACAACCTGCTTTTCATAGTATGAAATCAGGAGAGAGAGCCCAGCAGGCTTTGAAATCTGTGTGGGGAAAACCAGGGCATCTGCTGTAAAGCCTCTTGGACTTGATCCCATGATCATTGGAAGCCCTGTTGATCTGAATATACCAGTTCTCCTACAGAGTAATCAGAAAACTGAGACTTTGTTGTACAAGCATAAAAGCAGGATCACTGGCAAATAAAGATGCCTCCTTTATGTATTTTTTTTTCTTCTTTGATCTTAAATGTCATGACCCAGCAGAGGTAAAAGAGAGCAGGTTATGGCAGGTAACCACCAGCAATAGTAGCATTTCTCTCTCATCCGGAGAGCTGTATGTATTCATTTCTAGTGCGTTACTTTCATTAAACTTAAGTAGCAGTTAATCCCATGTTGACAGAAGTTGAATAGGGTTGAGATGGGAATACTATGCCTGGTCTCATCTGTAAAATTTCTTTAGCACTTGTTTTTACATTGTTTAGAAGTTGTCTGTTGTGCTGCTTCTCTTACATCAGCAATCAAAATAACTTGCACTGTGTTTTTTGATTTCCTTGCCCCCTAGCAAATTCCATCACAGTCTGGCAAGGCTCAATCATCACCCTTTGGGATTGGAACTAGCCATACTTATCCAGCTGATCCGTCCTCATACAGTCCACTTTCGAGCCCAGCCACCTCTTCCCCAAGTGGCAATGCCTACTCCAGCCTAGCAAACAGAAGTGCAGGGTTTGGTAAGTTTGAAATGCACATAAAATTAAACCCCTAAAACACTACAGCCCAAATCCAGCCCTACTTTTAGACAGGTAAGTAGCAGTTATGCAGCTAACTTTAGCCAAAATGGGACATTTCAGGCTACTTGTGCAAAAGTTAGATCTTGCCTCTCTGTAAAGAGGTGTGCAGCTGCATGCATGCATCCAAGAAGAGTGCTGGTAGAGAAGCAGGCCCTCCCATGATTTCCATTCTTGGTCATATGTGGGAACAGAATGGAAAGCAAGCCAAAGGTAGCTTTGTGTCTCAGTGAGATGGGCACTGCCTTGGAAGGAAGAGGGTTGAGTTCTGGCACTGCTTCTGCACCCAGTGGAGTATGATTTTTGCACATTTTTGCAGATAACCTCTGACATTTTATTTTGTTCACACTAAATAGCCACTACTAAATAGTCCTGTCTTCAGAACACAAGTAGCAATTGCAAAGTGGCTATTCAAATTTAGAGTGGCTATTCAGTGTGAAATGCATCTCTCTCAGAAGCTCCATCCTGCTTTACAGAGTCACTAGCTATGGTCCTGAACCACAAAGAGTTTCACTGCAGTCTTTAGGGGTTTAGTTGTGGGAACAGCCCCCTGGAAGATCAGAACTTGTATATTTTTACATAAGTAAATTGCTTCATTCAGGAATCGTAAGCACTGCTGGGTTGGATTTACAACATTTAGAGCACTTCTGCATGGATCAGAACTTGACAAAACATGTAGCCAATTCTTACCTATGTTAATATTTGAGTGTGCACTTTTTGTGTTTAGCTATATTTATTGGGTGCTGGAAACCCTCAGATATGAGCCTTAAGATTATGATTAAAGTATATGAAACTTTGCAATGGATTACATTTCTTCTTAGATAATTAGATAGAAATGTTAAAGATAACTGTGCTGTTCATTGTCTCTTCAGTTGAATGTTCAGATTATGCCTTTAGCGTGGGATGTTCCTGAGAGTGGAAAATGAAAAACATCTAAGGGATAATGAAATAGGAACACTCCATTCTTCCCCTCTACCTTACAACCCCCCACTTTCTAACCTAGTTTTCTTGATAATAAACTTTCTAAGATTATGTTAATCATATGATTAGCAGATATGGGACTTTTTTTTTTCATTTCTGCTACTGTGTTCATTTATTGCACTTTGCTTTTTTCTCAGGGCTGAAAGTGCAATATGACCAGTTTTGTTTCAAGCCTGCTTTACTCCCTGGGCCTCCTGGCTAGCCCTGTGTTGTATTGCCTGGAATACAGTAGGGAATGCACGCATCAAAATGGAAAACTTCCCACCGAGTTTATTCTTGGTGCCATCTCCATTCACATGGGACTTTGTGCCTTTGTTTTGTGAGTGAGCCTGCACTTTGTGCTTGGCAAGGAACCATTCACCTAATGAGAAACACTCCCTGACCTACATCAGTTTGAATTCTTTTATTAAATACAATTCTTACCAAAAAAGAACTTCTTAAACTTTCTGCTGGCAACTTCTGTCTGGCTGAGAAGCCTCGTTTGCTTCACTAAGTAAATTTCAGCACATTGTACAGAGCAGAACACATGCCGTATCTTTTAAAGGGTAACTTAAATGAACTTTCCTTTGACAAGTTATGTGGCAGCAGGATTTTTGAATCAGCCAAATTATTTGTCACTGTAATGTCAGTCGGGGAAGATAAAATTATCTAACCCAGATGCGACACAAGAATGCCATTACAGTTTACAAGTTTTCTGGAAAACAGCTCATCTCCTCAGTGCTACATTTCTTAGCTGGTAGCAAAGTTTACCTAGAGGGAATTTGAGGCGTTTGTCATGTTGTACGTCATGAAGCAGTGACCTATGGAGTCATGGATTTTGGTTATTGCCATTTCCCATTCTTTCCATTGTTCTGAGTGGAAGATATACTTTCTGGTTACCAGGAGCCTGATGCAACGTAATAAGCAGAATCATGTCTCTGCAGAAGTAGTTAGAACAATAGTATCTCTTGGCCCATGGTCCTGATGACCCCTAGTATCTAATCTACCAGTTCCTCCCAAATGTTGGCTTACAAGTTTGAAAACAAAAAGTTGAAAATAGGAGGAGTAAAACAGGGAAAATATTTGGGGGAGGGAGCATGCGTTCTTTCAGTTGTGGCACCTTCGACCAAGATACGCAACACACTAACAAAAACTGTGCTGCTTTACTTGCATTTCAGTAGAGATGCCTCTTCCATTTCTGAGCTGAAAAAAAAGTATTGGTCCTGCACTGTACTGTAGAGGGGCCAGGGGAGGCTCAAACACATTAGCATAAATACCAAAGTTCACATTTTTGTGCTGGGCAGTGGTTCCCAAAAATCACCCCTAAAAGTGATGAAACATTAACATTGTAGAAAGTGGCTCTACAAAGACTTCAAACACAGAAGGAAAATCTCCTGGGTGACGTTTTAAACATTCAGGGCTAAATTCTGTCTACAGAGGTACAGTGTGAAAACCCACTGACTTTGAGTAAACAGCATCTCTGAACATACCCATAAAAGCTGTGTGCACAGTAGATGACAGAAGCAGTCTATATGGTATCAGTTTTTAGTGGGTCATTAGGACTGCATTTGTCTTGCCTCTAAACCTCTTTATTCCTTCAAAACCTCAAGTAGACTTCAGTCTCAGGTACCACCTGTTATATGAACAAATATGAGATGACACCAACATGAATTCAATAGATGCTTTCCCCCTGGAAATAATGGAGGATGAGATTTGCCCACTGACCAGCTTTCTAAACAACCTCAATGCTTCAGGCTGCAAGGCCCCTGCTGGCCTCAAGTATCTAAAGGCCTGACTGTGCAAGTAGGGGACCAACATCCTGCTTTTGCAAAGTCTGAAAACAGACCCATTACATATTCCAGCAGATAGAAGTACTCCTCTGGTTCAGCTCTTGATCAAAATGTCTCTTAAAAAGAAAGGGACTTTAAAGTGTCTGCATCGTCATTTGGGTTTAAGTGAAACAGCAAATAACTAATTGTCCCTATTAAAAAAAAAAAAAGGCAGGATAGCAGAGGACCCTGCCATTATTCCTGTTAGCTTTCATTACACTATTGATTTATTTTGCTTTGTGCTTTAACAGGTTCCTTCTTGTGTTGGTAAAGTGATAGTAATTAACCTTGCACTCTCTCTCTCTCTCTCTCTCTCTCTCTCTCTCTCTCTCTCTGGGTCCCACCCTGCTCATGTGGGATATCAGTGCCAAAACCTCCAATCCTGTGAGAACAGGTCCTTGCTGAGTATCCCTGTTATTAAATTGATTTCCCAGCACTGAAGTCTTTAACATAATCACAAACATACTTGTGCATTTTTAAAGGAACTGTCTCTCCAAATCTGGTAGATCTTATGGGTCTCCAAATCTGAATTTTTCAGCTGAAAGTGGTCAAAGCAGTGGACAGTTCCAAGGGAGACCTTCAGAAGTCTGGTCCCAATGGCAAAGCCAGCATCATAATCAGCAAAGCAGTGACCAGCACTCTCACCAGCAGCCCAGCCAGACTGAAGTGTTCCAGGTCAGTAGATTTAAGACTTCATGACACCTACAGTGATTTCATGTAAGTGAAAGGAATTGTTCTTCTCCTGATAATGCAAGCCAGGTTGAACACATGGAGTGGCAGAGGACGTGACAATAGTATTCCTTAGCTTAGTATGTGCAGCCTCTTACATTGATGTGAGCTGGGATTAGAAAACCTTTTTCTAAGATTCTCTCAGTTTTGCTTTCTGCTGAATCACAGAAAGTTCTTTGATTTAAAACAATTACAATTTTTCTTCCTCTTCTTGCTCCCTCAGTACAGAGCTGATACATTTTGTGGAGAAGCTAGTAGACAGTCTTGACTAGATAGTCCTCCTTATATCCTCTTTCTTCCTTTTATGGTCCAGACCAATAAAATCTAACAGGGTCCAGTTAGTCTAAGTTCTCTTTAAGAGGAGGGAGGAGATTAGGTGTGTTCTTCAGAGGAGATACTGAGTAATGATTTTTACAACAGTCCACCTATTTGGACCCAATAACCATCTTCAGTAACTCAACTTGTTATTTTGTGGTATGAATTGCTGTTTATTATATCTTCATTTTAGTTGGGCTTGACGTTTCATAAGCAAATAAATCGATACGGTCTCTTTGGGCGCATCTACACATCACCCTCCGTCGTCATAGCAACAGTACGTCGCTGTACGGCGCTCTACATCAGTGTAGCAATCACGGGAGTCTACACATTTTCAGCAGCTATGTCTCCATAGCAGCACGCTTCCCCACTTTAGCACACTGCTACATTGCCATTGCAGCGAAAACTGACTGTGTGGGTGGTTACTGTGCTGTGCTTTAGTATTTACCAAAACGAAGTACTAAAGTACAGCGCCGTAGCAACAGCGCCATATGGCAACTTGTAGACGCGCCCTTTATGTATTTAAAATATTTTTCATTTAAATTGGTTCAAAATGACTGTTTATAAAAGAGCACTGTGGATAGGTGTATGCAAGGGAAAAGAGAAAGAAGTAAACAGCAAGCAGGTGCCAGATTTACTTCAGTGTCTATCACTAGAGACCTTGGCACAGGGACCCCAGCAGCAGAAGTCCCTCAGAGGGATGGAGGATTCAGCAGGTCAAGGCAGATGCAGCCTCATTGGAGGTGGCTTCAGAGATAGCAAATGAAGCATAAGATATACAAAGTGCTGGCCAGGGAGGTGGGGCTGGCCAGGGCAGTTGGGGAAGCGTGCCAGTCAAGTCTGCTGCATCTCTTATTGCCACTGACAGGGACCCCACAGTCGGACTTGCAGCTTGTGTTCTTCTGGGATGAGTCCTCAGTACAGTATGCAGCTACCCTCAGATAAGGGTAATTACTCCTCCCAAGGAAAGATCCTTAGAGCCTTTTTGATTGTTATGGAAGACTTGTTTTATCATTTAGATGTTAATGATGCATCTTTTGGTGCAAAACCAAGTCCTGCCAGAGCTTGTTCTTGTAAAAGCTGGGAGGAGGGCAGGAGGAGATGATACTTTATGTACTTGAATCCAAGACTAAGTTTCTCCCCATTCAACATGGGGGAGGAGGGGAAAGACCCCTTGTCTTGGATTTAAGTATAAGTACAAGGTGGGTTGGTTGGGGGGAAGATGGGGAGAAGTGGTGGGAGCTGCCTGCCCCCCTAATGCTGCTTTCCCCAAGGCAGCAGTGGGAAGGACAAAATTAAGGTGGGCCTCCAATACATAGAAAATTCTAACGGATTTATAATTTTTCTATTCATAGAGTCTAATTCTTGGGGGTTCTCTTAAATTCAAAGTCATCTCTGATTTGAGTGAATATGGTAGTTTTCTCAGCAGAGAATACCTTTTTCCCATTGCTTTGTCCATGCTGGACAAGATGCTTTGGTACTTTCTAAACCTACTACAAGGACCTTACTTGACTTAGAAGCAATTATCATGAGCTTCCTCTTTCTCGAGAGAAGTCAATTAATTTCCGCTTCCTTGCTTGGTCAGCTTGTTAACCAGGAGGAAAGTCTGACCTCCAGCATTGTTCAGTGGAGGTGCAGTGATAATAAATGTAGCTCCTGCTTACAGAGTGCTATTAAGGAGGAAGAGGATCCTCCACAAATGTATGCTGATAGCAGGAGCCATAATTCAGCTACATGAAAGCAAGACTCCCTCCACTGCACTCAGCATAGTACTTCAGAAAAGGTGCGTGATTCAAATTAAAGGGGGTTTAGTGATATCAAGACACAGATAAATCATATGATCCTTAACAGCTACTGCCTGGTCATCAGTTACTTATCAGTTGCTTATCCTTGTGTCTGCTGTGGGAGGTTAAAACTTGATGCTGTGAGGTGCTGAATGCTGCCTAAGTAGTCCTGCAGCTCTCTGATTTCAGGGAAAGAGGAGGGTGTGCTGGATCTCTCAGAAGGGCCTCACAGCCTTGCTAAATTGAGCCCATGGAAAGGAAGGGGAAGGAAGAGCTATTCTAGCAAGTCCAAGTAGCTGCTTTCTGTTTCCAGTGGTTATCCCTGCAAAGGCTTTTAATCGATTTACCTTAATTCCACTCTGGAAAATAACTGAGAGGCACAGCACAGAACCCACAAACACAGGTTTCAAACCCTTTATGTTTTAGTTTCATCAAGGCATGTGCATTTTCTATCCTGAAGAAGCAACACCATGAAAAGAAGTAGCTCTTGCCTGTTTGTAAGCTCCCTATTTTTCTTTCTAGTGCCTTTTTCACCTTGTTGCTGTCAGCAGCATGGAAGCCCAGCCACCTGGCACTCCAGAAAGCAGCTTTACAATAGGTGCTGTGCTTGTCATTCAGCAATTGCACATCTCTAGTCTCCAGTTTTACTACAGGCTGCTTCTAATACAGATTAGATGTGTGGGGATTTATGAGAATCAGACTTCTGCAATGCCTATACTCTGTTTAAGTCCTGCTCTACCTGGAAATAGGGCCTGAGCAAAAATTAAATGCTGGATAGATCCTCTACTTAGTCCTCTGACTGTCTCCAGCCTTTTGACATTTTCTGGTCTTTATTTTTTTTATTTTTTTTAAACAGGAGACTTTGCACCTGGAAAACATAATGGACAGTGACACTTCACTTTGATTTTTTTCCTTATCACGCAGGATATGCTGCCTATGCCGGGGGATCCTACCCAGGGTACTGGCAATTACAACATTGAAGATTTTGCTGATTTGGGCATGTTTCCACCATTTTCTGAATAATTCACAAAACAGGAAGAAAAGCCCTCTGACATGCGGTTCTGCAAGACCATTTCAGTGTATTGTTGGCTCTGCTTTTTCTGTGTTGCTTTACTTGTAGAAGCTACTAAACAAGAAGTCACATCTCTCATGTTTCAGATAGGAGAAAGCGAGCTCCTACATCTCTCCTTTCAGGGCGTGACTGCTGCCAAAGGAGAGACAGGACTAGTTGGTGTCCATTGACAGATCCATATTTTTATTTTCTTGCCATCTACCTCAGAGATGAAAAACTTTGCTTGATTGTGAAAAATCTCTGAGTCTTAAATATCTGAATGTGAATGATTGCTAGTATTCCCTTTTGAATGGTAATTTTTAACTAGATAATGAAGTAACAAAGACTAACAAAATGAAGGTAAGGTAACGTCGTATTACAGTGCCAATTTTTCCATTTCAATGCCTTGCTTTCAACTTAAGTTTCTGGAAACAGACTTAATGTTCTCTTTTCGATTCCTGTAGTTTTTAAGGCCAGCTTGAATGTGCGATTATACAGCATAATATGATCTTCTCAGACCAGAAGATTCAGCCTCTTTTTTTATTTTTTATTTACCCCAGTTAAACTTGAATGTGTGTACATTTTAGTACTGTGTGTATATCTTGTGCTGTATTAAGTGATTTCCTGTACTGGTTTCTTTTGACCTATGAAATGGCTGATTCTGGAGTGTTCTGAAAAGGGTAACACTATATGGGGGGATCCAAACATTGTTGCATTCTCAATCCCTTTACCTGTTAACTCAGGTAATTCTGATGTAGGCCATACATTTACTTACACGAACTCTTACTCCTGTTTTTGCACTGCTAAATGAGGCCTATTTTTCTATAATTTTCTCATGAGCTGCTCTTTTTTTTGTTGTTGCCTTTAGCTCTTACATTCCCTGAGAGAATTGTTTGTAAAAATTACTATAAAACATATCAAGAATATGATTTCTGCACAAGCTGCATTTCCTTTCTATGAACTTTGTTTTCATACTGTGAAATGTCACGTTTTTACAGTCACAAATGATGACCTGTTGCAACAAAATCATTCAAGCTCATTTCCAAGAGCAATAAGCCACTTTGTTCCATTGTCACACAGTGCTGTTGAATCTAATTTGTAGCAGGTATGAATCAGGTTGTTACCTGCAGTGAAGTTGACTTCTTTTTTTTTGCTTGCATTCTGACTTGCTCAGCATCTCCCTGTTTTGGCAGGTTTTCAATTTGCTCACCATTTAAAAGAATTGACCACAGTGGTGCATGCTTTTCTATGATATTAAGGTCTGTGACTTCAGTTTTGCTGGCTGATGTCCCTGTCCATCTAAAATGTGCTGGACATTCTTTGTGTGTGCGTCCACATGTACACTTCTTGATTACAGGGACCTTAGACAAATGACTATTTAAGACCAAACAATCCTTATTTGGGAGAAATATCCTCCAGGGACAACAAAATAGTTCAGCATTCACAGTCATGAAGTTTTTTGTGACAACCTTTGAGGTGTGAGAGGTTGCAGGCAGTCATCTTGGAAAGGAAGAGGTGTCAGCTGCCTGAACTGGTAGAAGTATTAGGATTCACACTGGGTCTCCAGACCAGTGCGTTTCCACAGTGATTTCCCCACACATGCACTTCCATTTGCCTGGCCCCTTGAGGCTAACTCTCAGTCTAGAGGCACCTTACAGAAGTCCTTACTAGGTCAGAAATATCTCATGAAGGAAATCCCTGAAGTCTCCTAGATAGACAGTGCCATGAAGAGCAGCGCTCTCTATAACCCGTGGCCCAATCTGACCACATAGGTTTTGTACAGAGACCTGTGCTCTTCAGGTTGTTCAAAACCAACTTCTGCAGACTTTCTGCAGCTGGCTCCCTTGCTCCCCTATTTCACTGCACTTTGTGTAGCAGATAATACAGTATCCAGTGACAGTATTTCCTGCCATTTTTCTCTTTATTTAATTCTCTGGGATCAATCCTGAGCCCTACGTGCTAATGGGGGACTTCTTCATTAAAAAACAGAGACTCTAGTTCTAACCTAAATCAAGTATTACAGAGGCCTCAGATCTCTGGTCTAGGCTTGCCTGACCAAAGTTGTAATTATTTTTAAATGGGTACCTCTTCTCCAGTTCCAAGTCAGGAGGGGAAGTTCTCACCTAGCCGAATAAACCATGCACTTAAAGTATATTTATTTTAATACCTAGATATGTATTCCCTTGAAGCCTTCCCACTCCATCTGCACTGCTTGAATAAAGAAGTGTTACTGAATTAGCCTAAAGATGCTCCACTCTGTAGTGAGCTGATCAGTGGGATTCACTGACCTCAGTAAAAGATGCTTGCGCTCTACAGGTGGCTGCTCAGGTGAGGCGAGATATCTGCATCTGGAGAGTAGAGAGTGACAGGAAAAGGAGAAATAGAGAGTCCTGGGTGGGCAACAGATGTCATCATGGGGGAAGAGAGGGTGGACTTTCAATTGCCATCTCTGTACATAATGCACATGACATGAACATAAACTCTGTACTTTTAATGTTTGAAAGTTACGTTTCTCTGTAAAGTGAGAAATGAATGGAAAAACTGTTTCTATGTTGTAATCTTTGTGACACATTGTTCTAAGTATATATATGTATAAATTTACATATGTGCCTGAAATCAATTTGGAAGTTTCTATTTATGAAAATTGCTTTTCTTTTCCCAGTCCCAGGCCAGTTCAGTTTCTCTATGTATCATTGTCCTTTTATAGTACAACCATGTAGAAAGGGGCTTATCGTATTCTGTATTTGATAGTGCCAGTAAAAAAAAATTTTGACTAAAAAAAGTTCAAGCATGTCAGGTGTTTTGCAAGCAGAGTATTGTCCATTTGAAGCCAGTATACCTAACCCTACTTGGACTGCTTCTTGTCCAGTATCCCTTCTGGGCACAAAAGATAATTGCTCTAGTGTTAAAGGCCAGTCTTGGAATAGTGTTAGGGTTTCTCCCATTTCTTCACTTTGAGGCATTATAATTCCTTTTTTTATCTTCTGATATACTGAGCCAGTGCTTTCTCCACTCTCCTTGCCTGCCTGCCAGATGATCCCTTTTCCTACAGGATATTTATAGCACTTTCCCTCTGAAGGGAGGGCAGGTGTGGAGAGATTTTTTTTCTGAGAGTGCAATGAAGCCAGCAAGGGAGCGCTTACAGAGCATTATAGCTGGCAGCCTTATTGAGACCAAGCAAATAGGCAACATTCACAGTTGCACCTGCGTTTACTGCCTTACAGAAGCAGTAGCAAGTGCTGCCTCCATAGTGCTGAGCAGCTCCTGTGGAATATTGTTGCCTCAGTCCCATTCTTGCCGTAGCTAGAGTTGTTTAGCATTTAGCTGAGCTATACTTTTTTGTTGCATATTTTGATGATAGTAAAGCAACTTGCATATGTAATTACTGAAGTGATGGCATTTTTATTTGGCAGTTAGTGCAACTGCTGCAGCACTTTTGCTGTCAGTGAGAGAGTTTGCAGATTTCATGTGCAGAAAATGTTATTCTCTGCATGTAAAGTTGTGACTTCTGATCTGATTGTCTTGCAAACTATTTCATAAAAGAGTGAGAAATAAATAGAACTGAAGCATTCTGCTTTTTACAGATTGAAGGAGTAGCTACACGCAATGCTTCAACAACCTGTTATTTCAGTTAGTTGGCATAGACTGAGACCATTTTAGGATGCTGAAGTATTTACTTATTCATACAATTAATCAAGTTTATTGACTGCATATTTAACTGGAGTAACTCCATGGCATTCATTGTTAATGGCACTCCTGATGGTGCCTCCTAACCAGAAGTGTCCATAAGTAGTTTTGTTGCCTTCTTTTTCTTGGAGTACATTACAAAACTGTAAATATTTTTGCAGTACTGCCTTTTTAACTCCTAATTACTTTGGGCGCAGTGTTATATAGTGTTGGAATTACCCAACTGCTATGACATATATTTTTATACATAGGTGTACTCTTTTTTTGAGATTAGTACAGCCATTTAATCATTAATGCCTTATATCAGTGTCATACTGCTGTTGCTCTTTGTTTGGTTTGTCTGTGGGATATCCAGTGGACTAATTTTTAGGTCAAATATTTTCACGTTCATAACAGTGCTCAAATTGGATTAATAGGAGCATGTGCCAGAGCCCCCTTTTTCAATGTTGTGGTTGTAGGGAAAGAAAGAAGATCAGTTCAAAAAACGAAAAGAGAAAACAAAATGGGGGCAGTATCATCACATTTATTCCTGCACTGTTCTTGCTCCAGAATGAGCATGTTTTCATGGGTTTACAACTGCATGGATGCGGATCAGTTTGCTTAGAGTAACAACGTGTTTTTAAAAATGCCAAAAATGGGCTTCAGTCATCAAGTTACCACTTGGTTACTTATGTGTTTAAATTCTTCATAATGATGTGAAACTGTGCTGTGGATGAAGTGTATTTTGTACTTCTGAATGTTCTATATTTATGACTAACAATTACAGGATCAGTTGTGTGTATGTATAACTAATTAATTGCCTTTTTAAATTTCATTAAAATAAAACTCTCATGAGCTGTTGTAAATTCATATCTTTATATAAATATTTGCGATAACACTTTGTTGGCCCACATACAAATGAAGCAAAATACGTACTCTGAGCTTAACTATTCATGCTTGCAAATCAGAAGAGGGGGGTCCTGTCCTTCTCTTACAGCCTTAAATGCTCTGCATAATACACGTGCTTCCACATTTTGTAACTGTAACATAGGAAGATTGATTCCAGGTTATCTTCCTTACATAAAAACTGTCTGAAAGGAGAGACGCAAGTTAGTTCAAGATACCCCTTTGCAAAAGAAGTTGCAGGGAAATATCAGTGGTGTTCTATATAAAGGAATAAATGTTGCTGGTCAGCACATATATATATGAACTAGAGTCTCTGTGCAGTGTTTCAGTATTATTTCACGTAGCTCTGTGATGATTTTCATTCTGTTTTCTAAAGTATTGATGACATGGTTTCTAGTCCCCTTTTAGCTCTGTTGCACAAAGTAAAATCTACCTGAGTGCTTCTCACAAACATACCAAAGAAATTTCTGGACTTTTATAGACAGGATATGTTGTGTGTGTGCTTTTTATGTTCTCATGATTATATTGATGCTGCTTGTCTTTATCTACTTTATACGATGCGAGTAGGATTTACCTTGCTGCCACAAGAAGCTGTGCCAGGAAAGGATTCTGCACTGTAGGATGCACATTCTCCTTGCAGAGTAGGTAGGTTTTTTACAACCACATTTCTTTTTATGCCCTTGGCCTATGGAGACAGATAGAAGCTCTGCTGGAGACCCTTAGGCACCCTGCTAGCAGAGCAGGGACTGGAATGTGTTTAATCAGCCACCAGCTCATTGACTAGCACTATCCACTTTATGGAGCTTTGTTTTCTGATGATGTGTCCCAGTAGTGCAGGTTAGGTGATGGTTCGGGCTAATCAAAAGCTTTCATTCAAAACTGTTTTGCTGCGAAAACTGGTTTTCCACTGAGTGAAATGTTTCCCACAGAGCATCTGAGGAAAACTTCACTCTTGATAAAACTGGAATGCCACAATCCCGAGCTATACCTCCACTGGGAAATACTGCTGAATGCTTCATGGCAGGCACAGCTTGGTTTTTTGGGTCCCCTCAAGTGACCAGATTTCACACTCCAAAATACAGTCTACAGCTAGGAGCTCCCGTGAGGCAGCACCTTTCCCCTTTCTCTAAAAGAGAAGACCATGGTACATGATGGCACTCTTCACATGACCATGGATCACAGCCTGCAGAAAATGGGGCTGGGGGAGGAATTGGGCATTCCCAAGAAGGGCCCTTTACCGACCTAGCAGAGGATGAAGGCAGGCTTGAACTTCTGCCGTCTCTTCCTAGCCCAGGCCTGGAGCCACAAAGCATACAGGCAGAGCTGCCTTCCCTTTAGGTGGGATGTCCCAAGGGCTTTCAGCCACCTCCAGATTTAAAACAAGAAAACCCAAATCTGGGCTATCCGACCTCGTAGACCCTTCCAGGGCTTGGATTGCAGCACTAGCTCTACGAGGCCTTGGCATGGGGGCTTGCTGCCCCTGAAGAAAGCAGGGGGTTATGACATACAGCTTTGCAGCCCACACTTTAGAGGTGGACTCGAGCCCATCTGAGCAATGCATGGATCAGAGGGGAAAAACAACCCAAGAGGAGCAGAGGGGGATGCCTGTGCCCTACCAGGGAGCAGTCTTGAACTCATCCCCTCCTGACCCCCAGCTCTACCAGGCAGGCCAGCTTAGGCAGCCTTCACTCTTGGACTCCTCATGAGAGCACCAGAGGGGGTGCTGGCAACCCAGAACTAATGGGGTGCCTTTGCCCAACCAACAGAGACCACAGGCAGCCTTGTACTCATGC